GCTGGGGCCCGCGCGGGGCGCCCCTGGGGACGGAGCCGCCGCAGGCCGCGCGGGCCCCAGCGCCTCCCCACGGTGCCCTCCCTTTCCCCGGAGAGGTAGAGGGGGCCACAGCGGGAATGAAACACGCAGGGGCCTCCCCCTCCTCTTTGCCCCCGCTAACGCCAGGGCTGGGGGAGCAACACACGTGCGGTCTCACACGTGGGTCCCCACCCAGGTCCCCGTGGAAGTCCCCAGAGAGCAGCACAGGCAGGCAGGTTGGTTCTACATACTTTTATTAGATTAGAGCTGGACAAATCACAGAGTGTACAAAATGGAGACCACACTACCAGAAGCAGGATGGTGGGTAGCAGCAGCATTCCTATGGCCCCAGAGCAGTTGGTGCAAGTGTGGGGAGGGCAGGGGCTCTCACTGCCACCTGCATTTTAGATTCTAGAGGACAGACCCTGGTCACCAGCCTGACTCCCTGGGATAGAGGGGCCAAGTTTCCAATTTGTTTAGGGAAGAAAGTCTGGCTCAAGCCAGCAGCAAGTGGGGGTAAGTGCTCTAAGGACCTGAAATGCTGTGCCACCCACACACACACCAGCAAGAGTCTAAACCCTCATCCTTTCTGTTCACAAACCTTCTCATGGCAGGACTCTATACTGAAGACTTTGCAAGAAATATAGGAAGGTGGCGAGGTCTCCTCTGGTGGAGGCCTGACAAACTCACCACCTCAGGCATCTCAGACTGGCCAGCAACATCTACCACAACAGCAATAGCTAGTACAGAAGCCAGGGTAACTTCAATTCGGATTTGTCCAGTCTATGTTTAGGTCTACTCTACGGGTACATATGCACAAGAACTTCAAAAATACTAGGATTTGATGCAAGTAGTGAGACACCAACAGAAGAGGAGTTTAATGGTGGACGTTCCCTAGAAAGATCATGAGAGGATGGGAGTTAGACTAGCCCTTCCCGACCCTGGGACATGTGCAGGGATGCTGCCAGCATCCTGCTTTCTGACTCGGTTCTGAACTTCAGCTGCAGCACGGGTGGTAACTGAGACAGGCAGGCGAGTCCATTCCCAAGGTGGGCCACAAGGTCTTTCAATCTGTAGAGGGGCCAGGCAGATTTTTCTCTGAATGTACTTGAAGACTGAAGAGACACGTCGGATGGCTTGAAGAGGGAGCCCGCCAGCTTGCTGGGGCTAGCATCTGGTCTCGTAGATCCCACTCCTGCCAATGTACCTCACCCATTTTATCACATCATGGTCACTGTAGTTCAGCTTTGGCTCAAAGACTTTCAGGTAACGCACCTTCAGCCCGGAGGGTGCAAATGGGACCTATGAGAAAGGGGAAGGCAATAGAGAGCATTGGCATGGAGGAATTACAAAGTCTGCACACAAAATAGCCTGAATAACTACAGCCAAGTATCTAGGAGAGGGACACCAGTCACTTCCTTTCTCTACACCCTGTGTGCATGGTGACAAACCCCACTAGCTTTAGGGGCAGTTTTCTTCCATTAGTTGGGACACCTGTGTAGATTTGGGCTAGAAAGTGACAGAGCAGTCAGGGACAGGGAGGTCTCAAACTTCCGTAGTTTCTGTAAGCGTAGAAGGGACTGACAAAACTTCTCAAGTTAGCTGTGTCCTGAAAGACAGACTGACTCACCTCAAAGTTCATGGAGATCGGGGGCCGAGCCCACTTCTTCTTGTCATTGGTGGGCAGCAGCTCGATCTCTGCACTGATCTGGGATTCCTTCATTCCAGCCATACGTTTAATCCTATCAGAGGAAGCCCAGAGGTGAACAAATACCCGAGTCTATTTGTTAGCTGTGCTCAGCACAGAGCCTCTGCCTTCCCAGCCCTGCCCACTTACTTCCAGACTATGGCATTCTCACTGGCCTTGTACTTTGCCTTCCCTTTCATACAGATGACTTGCACTCCACTGGTATTGAGGGGGGTTGGGATCCGCACCTGGAAGGAAGAGTCCAGTGAGCAGGGGCCAGGAGACTGCAGCCTGAGCACTCCAGGCAGGGTCACGGGAAGAGGTCCCCTCCCAGGACACTGCAGCTGCTGTCTTGGTTCCCTCAGCCTTCACATCCCAGAGTCCAGTTAGCTCAGCTACCGTAAGGCATCACAGGCTGTCTTTCTGCATTGAGAGAAGGCTCAAACAAGCCTTTAAATTCCACAGTGAGGAACAGGACACAGCCCTTCAGGATGCAGATGTGCAGCAGGAAACCTTAGTCAGACAGATGAGCTTGGGCAGGATGCAGGCAGATCATCCTGACTGAGTTCTGGGCAGCAAAAGCCCCTCCTCAAAAGGGGGCTAGACTGAGCATCTACCCTTGGCCTGTCTTAAACATCTCATAGTCCACTGCCTGTGTGATGTACTGTTAGACCCATGCAGACAGGACAACATGACTTTTTTTAGAGTGCCAAAGCAGCAGACAGTTGTTTTGCACTCTTCCAGGCAGATACTGCAGGGAACGTATCCTCTGCCAAGGTACAGTGTTCCTGGTTGCATTGGCATTGGCAACCAAGAACAGCTTCCACCTCCCTACTTCACAGGGCTTCGCCTCCAGCAGAGCAGCAAGGCACATGCCTAGGGCTTGCAGTTCACTTTTAGTCCTGTACAGACTTAAGGAATTATCTGTGAGACACAGTTCTTAGGCAGAGGCCTTAAGTTTTATTCTCTTACCTCTATCTTCTGGGCAAGCAAGGAAGGTTTGAAGTTTGATTTAATCACCACCTTCACTTCCAGTTTGGTCCGACCCACCTCCCGCACCAGAGGAATCACACGGAAGGGAAGGATGATGTCCTTAGTGGTTCGGTATCTGCAGGGAGAGGCAAGAGTGAACTCTGAGAAGAGCTAGCTCTTAGGGCCTCAAATTGGGACCTCAGATAGGGTCCTTCCTAAGGGGACAGCCTTCAAACACAAGAACTGTTTAAAAGCATCAGCTATGAAGACAATCAATGCCAAATTGAACAGCACTTAGACTGTGCTGTCGTATGATATTGATGACTTCTTGAGTCTCAAGTTCAGTATCTTAGTCCTACAAAGTGACCCTGCTCGAAGATACCAGTTTTAGGCACTGCTAAACAGTCAGAGTAGGGTAAGGAAATCCACATCCAATACTATGGGTGTATAAAAACAAACATACATGGAGTCAGACGTCTACTGCATCTGTAAAAGGTCTCATAGGACACCTCAGACTGCTCTGTGAAAAGGAAGGGAGCGCGTGCTTGCTGTTTGCTCAAGGGCAATAACTGCCTGAAGAGGACTGTAACCTGGAGAGGTAACAGGACTGTAGCAGCAGGCAGATGCCAAGATCAGACTGTTTGTTCCCTATCACCGTACCTCATGAGTTCAAACTCTCCATCTGGTGGAATGAAGCTGATGCTCCTCTCAGAGTCAAACTTGCTGAGTCTCACACACTGGTGGAAAGTGCAGTCGTCGATGGCAATTGACTGTTTGCCACTAAAACAGGAGAGAGAGTTAAACAAGTGCGAGCTGCAGCCCCAGTGCCCTGGTGCAGGCAGAGTCTGCTCAGACAGAAGCTATTTTCTACAGAGCATGTTGCCATTGCAGGTGTCCAGGAAATGGGGAGGCAGGGAGAGATTTAGGGGACAAGGGCCTGCTGGGTTAGACTTCCTTTGTGTCACAACCCCAAGATCAGACCTGAAGAAGCTCATTTAAAAGAATTCTCTCCCTCCTCTAACCTCCTCTCTCAGGGAAGAGCAGCACCTTTCAGTCACAGCCAGGAATGCAATGCTCAGTACTGCAAGGGTAACTCTGCTAGCCCAAGTCTTCTTGCAGTGCAGCCCAAGGGGAGAAAAGCACTTTCCTTTCCACAAAGCTATCCCACTGCCACACAGCTGGAGATAACCCTGTTTGGAGTCTTGCTGCTCCAAAACTTCCTTACAGCTGAGGATTTCCACATTGCTAGCTAGTGGTTTGACTCAGGGCCAAACTCTTCCTCCTCAGGCCAGTGTGGCAACCAAGTTGCTGAGGACAAGAATATCTTGCCACAAACATTTTCAGTTTCTTTACTGCTAAAATCTGGCCAGCTAATGTCTGCGCAGCTAGGTGCACTGGCCAGTACTCAACCTGCACCGTGTTCCAGTCTGACACCATCTTCCTCACTATTAGCCCCAGAGTTAGCAAAGAATGTCTCAGGTACTGAGAGGAGCTAAGAAGCGAGAGGGAGGCAACAACAGAAGAGGCAGTAGCGTTGAGAAGGCCCAGCAGTGCAGAATGACATTTAGGCTGCCTCAACTACTGTGAACAACGGGACAACTATTTAAGTGCGAAGAGATAGTAGTATAAACAACATGGGCCCTACTGAGCCCTCTCGGCCCTACTGAGATCCACCATTACCTGCACATGTGGTAAGCAGACCCAGAGCGGCTGTTTGAATGGCAGAATTCAAATGGTTGTTTGAATGGTTGTTTACTTTACACATCCCAGCTGTGTGGCTTGTGCTTCGTAAACTAGAATTAACCTTTTCTGGTCTATTGCCCAGGTGGCAGCCAACATTAGCAGACTTGTCTTTTGGTTTCTTTGGGGTGCTGCTAGGAAAGCCCTGCTGCCTAGCACTGGTCCAGGACTCAAGCAGCATTATGCAGATGTGCAGTACTGTCACATGCTAGATGCCAAAACACAACTAACAGCTGCTCGTTTTGGTCACCTTATTACTACGTACTTCTGGAAAATGTCATTTCCACACTCATGCCTACTGGAGAACAGCAGTTAGGGAGGGCCAGCCAGCAAGAGTCTCAGCTCCCTCCTGCTTCTGTAGCTTAAAAACGGCATTTTTATAGGTGAAGGTACTCATGCAGCACAGAAGTTCTGTGACATGTTCGTAAGCCTGACTGTTCATAAGCTTACACAGATGACATTTTCACTAGAATACTTCCCCACCGGCCAGTCCATTTTACTAACTAGATCCAGGTACTGGAAAGAAGAATTAAAACATGACAGTGAAGTGATAGCTCTTGGCTTGGTTCTGAGAGAAAAGGCAAAGAGCAGCTTATCTCAGTTTATAGGAACCATCGTGGAAAGTGACTGAGATCTGAGTAACATGCACAAGTCAAAGCAATAGACAGGGAGGGAAGCAGAGTGCACACACAGCTGAAGCAGATTATCTACCTTCCCAATTCACTGGGCGCCAGCAAAAAAAAAAAAAAAAAAAAAGTTGAGTCACAAATGGTTAGTGGGAAAAAAAATGGCAGTTCCTGTGCCTTGCTCTCTTCACCCTAGACTTTAAGGCTGGAAAAAGCATAACACCTGTCTTCAGTGTAAGATAGGTACTGACAGAGGCACAGCTGGGGATGAAGGCAGCTGGCTGCCAGGGTGAGTCTCCAGGCCACACTGCCACTCACCATCCTGCACCAACAGGAGGGGCTCACCCAGAGATTAGTCCTGTCAGCTGTTCCACTTAGTGGGAACAGTCTGGGTAGAGCATTTTATGGCTGGAGGGTTCCCTCACTGTTCCTTGGCAGTGCTACTGCTGTAACCCGTAAGTGCCTCTATATCAGCTAGAGCTGCTAGAGATTCTGGGAGACTTCTTTTTGGGGGGCAGCATGGGGAGAAGGTTTCCAGCTGTAAAAACTCCACATTTAATACTATATTTGAGTCTTAATACTTCAAGAAAGATGACAACCCAGGAGTTCCCACTGCTCCTGACATTTGCCTGTGTGTAGGTGTCAGACACCTAAGATGATCTCTAACCTGCATTGGCCCTGCTACAGAGAAACCCTTTATACAAGGCCCTAAAGTTGTTATCTTGCACTATAACTGACCTATCCAGAAGAAAAAAAACAGCAGTAATACCTGAAGGGAAGGAAAGATAAGCGTCATTGGTCAGATCAGAACAGCTACTAAGTGATGCCCTTCCACAAGGGTCCCAGGTGGCAAGTGGCTTTTACCCCAGCACTTCTTACCTTTTCCCCGTTTCATCCGCAGTCCCTTTGCCCTGTTTTTCGATGACAATCTTGTCATTCATGCCAAACTTGCACTCTGGCATTCCACTCAGATAGCTCTTCATCACCACTCTGCCAGAGACATGGGCACTCAAAACTTGACCTAGCATGAGAAGAACTCAGTTCAGAACACATACAGGTCATACAAGTCTCCCCTTATTACCCTGAAAGGGGAGAAGGACAGCAGCTTAGCACCTCCCACTTACCCTGGGGGGACATCAGGAGATTCACACTCTCTAGCACATCAAGAAACAGCTCGTTGCGACGATATTTGATCCCTTCACGTCTCCATCCAATCTGCCCAGTCACCTGGCTGGTGATTTGGGACTGCTCCTCCTTGGTCTGAAGGAAAGGAGATGACAACTTAAACCTCTAGATAAACAAGACTAAGGAAGCTTGGTCTAAATTAAGAGAAAGCACTTGCTGATTACAGTACACAACTGCTTTTGCCACTCAGATGTGCTGTCACATATCCCATGACTGGATCACCAAACATGCGCTCAATGCAGTGAATTCTATGCCTGACTAGAAATTAGTCCTCAAGACAGCAGGAAAATTTCCATCTCTTAACTTCCATTCTATTTACTGCCTTTCTGGGCACACTTCAGGTGTGAAAGGGTGCACTGATGACTTAAGTCATGTTTGACAGACCATTATATTAATCTGTAGGTTAGAGAAGAGGCAGCTGCCAGGCCACTTTGTCACCCTTGTCCAACATGAGACTGTAGAGCCATGAGGCACCCAGTCTCTAAGGGCTGCTTCTTGCCAGCATGCAGTTTGGGACAACAATTCTGCGCTGACATACCTAGTAGCGTTTAGGCTACAACCCTCCTAAAAGGATTAAGGATTATGTTGAGGCACAGCGAGGTCTCCTACCTGATGCTATAGGCGGGGTCCAGTCACACGCAGAAAGTGAAGTAGTAGATGTATAGCAGCAAGTGTGGCGCACACAGGGTTAACAGGCAAGCAGGTCAATAGCAAGAAAGGGGAGGAAGGGAGAAAAAGGCAGGTTAGGCTTAAGGCTACCTCAGGACAGGAACAAAGCAGGTCAGCTCATCACTAGTTAGGCAGCAAAAAACAAGGGAAGAGGCTTTGATCTTTAGTTCAGGAAACCCAGTACTCCCAACAGTGAAACGGCTTTTCAGGCTTGGTCTATCAGGTACCACTCAAACAGGAGGATGGAGTGACAGACAGGCTCCCTGTAACACCCCTTCCAGTAACGCTCCTATGCGGAGCAGACATCTCATGTTACGATTCCTAAAACAAGCCCCAAATGTTCACTGTGGCACAGAATCAGTCAATGAAGGGTACTGTGTACCCAACACTATGACCATTTTAGTATCTTATAGGAAGCAGATTTATTAGGTCTCTTAACAGACATAAAGAGGTATCTCTGCCCCTTCTACCAGAAGAGAAGAAAGCAGAAGTGGCCCCTACGCCAGCAGCCTTGCACTGTGGCCGCAGGGTGGCAGTGCTTGAGCTCGGTTCTAAACCAGCAGCAGTTCTGTTTCACAGGGCTCTTGTCATTGACCTGGTCACTGCTTGAGCTGGCCAAACCATTACAGAAACATCTGAGAGAGCTTTTTTTCATTCCATTGGAAACTGCCTAGATTAAATGCTCAATGCAGTGTAAAGAAACTCCCTTGTTTGTCCCACAACATAAAAAGCCTCCTTATTTGCCTTATTCAGCACTTTGTCCAGGCTTGAGAAAGAGGAAGGAGGGGAACAAGCAGACAGACTACTCTACTCCAGCTTGCAAAGCAGCATCAGTCACTCCAAAGGACTCTGATCACGTGCAGAAGCTCTCTTCTCCTGAGCAGGAGTGTTGTGAATGTCTACTGGCTGCTACAAAAGGGGACTAGGTGGATCTGTCTCAAAGCAGAGGGCTGAGCAACACTGAAAGCTGCAGTCACCCAGCTGCATATAAGGAGGACTTCAACCCAGTCTGAAATTATTCCAGACTGGAAGCTTCCCTGAACTAGACAACGTAGTCACCTAAAACAGGGCAAGAATATCTAATTCCTTGATTACTCAGTTGCCAGCATGTTGGGTTATGTAAGAGACAGGCACTACCACACCTTATAGTTGGACTTGAAAGATCTTGAAGGTCTTCTCCAAACATAATGATTCTATGAGGTTTCCTGGGCTCTGGCAGACTTCCAGCTGGTGACAGACCTCTTCTAAAAAAAGACTACTACTGTATATCCAAGACTTGGAGAAAACTCCGAGCCTAGGAGCTGAGTACATCAAACTCTCACAAAGTACTTTGAAGGGAAAGCAGCACTCGACTGGCTCACTAAGTGTGGGGCGACAGCAACTGAAGACAAGCAGCACACTGAGCATCACTCCACCTAGAGCAGCAAGGCCAAGTTTAACCCCTCCTGGAAGAAGGTACCTGAGCCAATGCTTGAACCAGGGTCCCACTGTGGAAAAAGAGCGTGATCTGCAGCTGTACAGCCCCACCTTGCACACCAGGACCTCTTAAAAGTCATCTAGCATACTGCATTACCCTATTCCTTTGCAGTGTTAGGATATATCTTTATTTTTGAATGGGTCTAAGCTCGTCAAGCCTGGAATGGCTCCTATAGCATACAGGGTGGCAATTCAAATGGCAGCAGCCCAGCAAGCCTCATTTTCTTTGAGAACAAAATGATAAGGCTGAGAGTTTGCCAAGTCTGCCATAATTGCAGATTTTAGTCTTCAAATACATAAAGACTTCAAAGAATGCACCATCATGAACCACACAGGGATAAAGGACTATAGATGACAGACCACCCTAGTCTCACATTTTGGCCTATAACATGTGCCAGAAATCAGATACAAATGAAGCAGGAGTTAGAAGCTAAGCGTAGCCAAGCAGAGAGCAGACATGGAAACTTGGCAAGTGTGGTCTGAATTGTTTCCCTGCCATACTGTGCCTGGAAAGGTTTGCTCGTGCTTCTTTTGAGCAGACTTGGGTTCCCACAATTCCAGGACATGGAGCAGAGTGGTTTTGCATAATTACTTTTGAGAATCTGTTGGCCAAAGCTTTTTTTTTTTTTTCTTTTTTTTGGTGGGGGAAGGGGAAAGTGGCTTGCATACAAATAGCTTAAGAGCTTGTCAAAACAGACTAAAGAGGAAAAAAAAATAAAGGGGAAGGAAGCGAGGGTGGTGGTTAGTTTTAAGTTTTCCTAGGTACAGGAGCTGACTCAGCTACCCTGAGTGCTGACTGCTCAAACTGTCCCAGTGCAGAACACCAGAGTGGCTTATACTGGGGTTGAGGATGGGGACGAGTAGCGGATGCACTCACATCTGGCCACTGATACACATCCTTTTGCACAGTCATTTGCTGTTCTGGCAGGAAATGTGTCTCTTGGACAGCTGAATGCTTCTGTTTCACCTCTGGAGCCAGAGATGCACCTAGCCTTGCTACTAATTATATGTTTGAAAATAAATTCTGAGGAAAGCAGAGCTGATCAAAAGAGTTGAACCAAGTCTCAAGAGATTGTGACCTCTGCTTATCCTTAGCAAGAACAGTGGTGAGGCAGTTTGTTTAGCACTTTGCTTCCATTTACACCGTGGTGTCAACTCCCAGCGTCTCTCCCAACTCACCTACCACACAGGGGAGATGACCAAGTTTTAGACTGAGCCCTTGTTATGAATTGGAAGACCTTGTAAGATGGAAGGGTGCCACTTGACCAATGAGGCACACAAGAAACGATGCCTGTAACAATGCTTTCGTTTCAGAGGTCCAGCACAAACTGCCTATGATGGCAAGTTAAGTTTTTAGGACTGCAGCAGGATTATAACTGGTTTAAAAAAATATTCCCAGGAATAGTCCAATTAAAATGTCTTTTACCCCCCAGTTTCCTTTTTCCCCTGACACAATGATATATTTTTCTTAATATTCTTTAATAAACTTTGATGAAAGGATTGCTCCTGTGACAAAAGCACAGTATTGCAACCTCCTGTGTAACTTGAAAAAGCCAAGACTGTATTGCTATGTCTGCTGGCACGTAAAGATGTTGGAAGTGGCAACAGATCACTGATTAAGAGGAACTTCTATGAGGCTGAAGAATATTCCATCACAAGGCAGACACAAAAGCACTAGGGGCCAGAGGAACAGACCTGCTCAATTACATGCACATCTAGGAGAACTATCTCTGATTCAGTATGTAGATAATTATTCTATCAAAAGCTTCATCTGACAAAGATCACGAGATTGAAGCCAGCAAACATTTATATGCAAGGGACTGGTGTTATCCCAGCCCAGGGCCCTTCCTCACCTCAGCAGGACCCAGCACACATCGGGTCACATAAATGCAGAGAATGAGATGGCATCAAGCCAATACTCCTGCCAGCATTTCCTCAAACTATTCAGACTACTCTCAGTGTAGATGCCATGGTCAGTTGGTAGTCAGAGATTGTACTTCTTGCACAGCCTTACAGAAATGAACCAGCAGAGCAGTGATGTAGCCACCAATCCCGCCAGTTACCTGACTCTTGATGCCTTGCTGAGTGATAAAGGTTTTCAGTGCCCCTGTTTCCGAGTTTTGAGGATAGCCAAAGTCCAGGATTTCTACAGAAGGGTAAAAAGCAATTAGCTCAGAGACACAGGTCAGAGCAGCAAGATACAAGCAAACCAATCATGCTAACCACTGTCTTATAAGCACAGAGCAAATTATTGCACAGATACTGCTTACATATTAAACCTTTCGACAAGTCCCTGGAGCATTCTGCACCCACAGAAGAAAAGCTTTGTCAAGTTGACACATTCAAATGAGAGATTCTACTTATTTATTTAGAGGAGGAGGGGAAGAGTGGGAGCTAAAGCTGTCTAGAGTTACAAATCTGCTTTTCTTTCCCCCTGTCTGAAGCAGGTCTGCTCTTCACATCTAAGTATCAGTTAAATAGAACAAGCATCCAGAGCACACTGAGAAGAGCTTTTTCCTCTCCCACAACATCCAGGGGTCAGTGAAGAGGCTTTAATCCAACAGCAGAATAATCCATCTTTGCAGCATTTTCTTTAGGCTTTGATTTTCCCATGAAAATGTAATAAAAGTCAAAACCTAAAAAAATAACAGCAGAGTAGTGACATTGCAGGGTGATCAATGTGACAACCAGCTATTAACTACAGACAGCCAATGCACTTCAAACCTCCGTCGAGGAAGGGAGTAGCCCGCACGGGATCCAGAGGAGACAGGAGCCCACAGACATGAACACTGAGTAACAGCACATTGGCAGGTGCTGATCTCGCTGTGCCTACTTAGAAGGCAGCACTGTCTGACCAAGGCAGAGAAACAGCAGCTTCTCCATCTGCCCAAGGGGAATAAAGAACCATCAGTCACTGTGACCCTTGGCTAAGAATCCCTGGGACACCCACATTTGTGCTCCTTGTCTAGGGAACAAGCTGAAGCATTTCTAACACAAAGTGTTCGTGTTATGCCAAACAAAGACAGCTCAAGGGCAGTTTCCACACATGGGCTGATATTATGGACAGCTGAAGGGACACTCTATCATTCCACAGTGAAAATTAGAGCTGTATCTTTGGGTTAGGTAGGGCTGGCACAGAGCAAGTTGGGTTTTATTGCTTTCTTTCTGTTCCCCCAGAATTGCCACAAAGATACTATTTAGAGTGGAAACTGTACTGAGTGTGACCAGGTGGCTGGAGCCAGCTGGGCTCCAGCTGAGATGACTGGCTTTAAACAGAGCTTCTGATAGTGCCATTCACACACCTCAGTATAAGAGCAGCCCTGCATGTACACAGGAACCACCCAGGAGCGGGGATCCAAAACCAGCTGCCTCGTTTATACAAGCTCACAGCACCATGCTTCAGCTGAGCAGGCCACGGTTAACACATGGCTATGGGTTTAAGACATTATCTATAGGTGGAAGTAGAAAAGCAGCACAAGTCTTTTTAAATTTCAATCACACAATAACATCAAAAATATATTTTGATGATTATTTCTTCATGAGGCTAAACTAAAGGCTAGAGAATGACCAAGTGCAGTGCCTCACAGCAGATTAGAAGGGAAACGTCTTACCATCCAACAGCTCATAGATCAGCACAAAGTTGTTCTTGATGTTTTCCTCACTGATCTTCCCAAAGTAGGCAGTCATCACGTCACACATCTTGTAGAGAAACTCAAACACCATGGCAGCATTGACATTTTGCTTGGTGACGGCAGCCAGCCAGATGTTGGAGCGCTTGACATGGAAGAAACTGGTGCGGGCGATGTTGGTGACAGGTGAGCGTACCTGCTGCCGTGCGTGGATGACATTGACGCGGAAGGCGTCCACGGCATTCCGCCTACGAGATCACCACAAAGGGAAGTGAGCACAGCACGCAGAAAATAAACTGGCTGCATAGTTCTGCTGGTGGAACTACAGCCCGGCGTTGAACTACGTACACCCATCCCTCCTGGGAAGGAGGCGTGGGGATGTCTTAGCCAAGGGGGCAACTGAAGGCTCCGAGTAGAGTTAGACATCAAACCCTCACATAGTAAATAGCTACTGCTCTCTAAGGAGCTTTGCACTAACTAGCCACAGGAGAAGCTAACCTCCATCTGGAGTCAGATGGCTGAGAAACTTCCCTTTTGAGTCATTTTGCTAGTGATCTACTGCCTGATCTACTGCCATAGCATACCACAGGGACTAGAACAGGCTGTGGCTCACTTAAAGAGCACAGATTTTTTTTTTTTTTTGACCAAATAGTTGGTTCCAGTCTACTCCACACACCCAGGCCTTCATACTCTTGCCCCAAGGCAGAGGATATCTATATCACGGGCAACTGTAGCTTTGAAGGCAGTTTCTCACAGATATATCACTGATGGGGGAAAAATAATAAAAAAAAATATATAAAAGGAGAAATCAGCAAATCCTAACCTGGTCATCTGACATCAGTGCCCAGGTGCACGCTAAAAGGGAAAACTGCTCTTGAAAGCTTTAGTTCTCAGATCCATCTCACCTCCACACCCCAGGCACTATGGAGGGCAGGCTCAAAGCAGCAGGCAGGATTAGGAACCTTCTTAGCTTTCCAGTTACAGTGTCCTCTCAAGTCTGCTGTGCTCTGGAGCAGCTCTCTGGCAGGCAGACTTATGGTCTCCATGGTGCAGCATGCTAGTGACAATGCATAACATGCACTGGATGGTCTAATACCATTTATTATAGTAAGAAAGCTCTGCACAGTACAGAGAAACTACTGTGCAAGTTTCACCTGCCATGACCGTTAATTCAAGCCTTTTTCCACTGTCCATGCTAGTGATGATATGGAACAAATCCTGTAGGTACAAGGGATGTACAGGTGACATTCTGCATAATAGCTTTTCCATGCCAGAGTTATGTTGTCCTGTAACTACTAGTCAGGATAAGTTTCCTAGATTTAATCTACAAACACTAAGAACATCAGCAGACATCTGGAGGCTTTCAGTGAAAATCTTGAGACTTCAAGCAAAAGTCTAGACACCAGTTCAAGACTCATCTAGTTGTGCTTCCTTCATAGTCTTCTTTAGAGACTATGTGGAACACGGATCTCCCCACTGCAGCATCAAGGACAAGATATGATTTTTCAGAACCATATTCAGAAGCAGATATTAATAATATCCTTGGAAGCTGTGATACAGGCATACAGAACCCCACAATCATTGAGAGTTATCAGCAGTCCAGTAGATGGTCCCACATGGGAAAAAACACAGGCATATTCAAAGGAAAATACGCTACTGTGATTGGTGTTAAGATTGCTCCCTGCGTACACATGCAGAAGCTTTGCCCCATAAGTGAAATTACAACTCTCAGAAACATTGCAGGTTTTATTGCTCCAGGACTCTTGTAAATGACTAAAATTCATATTTGATTTCTACCTTAAGTTTTCTGCAAGAGTAGTTCAATCTGTTGTAAAACAACAATAACCAACTCCCATTTCTCCCATCCAGTAAGCCTTGCAAGGAAAGTACAGCTTGTTCTGGCAACTAAGCCCTCCCTTAACCCAGCAGAACTAATACCCAAACCAGGAGACTGGTTTATGCTAGAGGGAAGCCTCAGGTTGGTGAAGCTTTTCTAACACACACACAATTGCCCGCTGTGCAGTGCCATCAGGGCCTACCACGCGTCTCTTACCTATTGCTACAGCAGCCAATGAGATGGGATGGACAGAAATGGCGCCAGCGGAGAAAGGAGGAGTGACAGCAACAAGAGAAAGGGTTAGAAACACACACACAAGGCACAATGAATCCAAAGAGATAAGGAGAGACCAAACAGCACCCCCTCCCCCTGCTCCTGGGCACAAGAGGCCAACAAGGTATTGCCTGGAAAATAAGCCGTGGCAGCAATGAAGCCCCTGCAAGGCACAACACTGGCATGCCATGGTCACATTGTCAGTGTTGATAGACTTGTGCTTGGTTCCATCTCAGGCTCAGTTTGATGTTTGGTCTAGATAAACTGCATCTATATTGTATCAGTGATACCCAGCATGCTCTGCAAAGGGGGGAAAAAAAAAATTCAAAGCCCTCAATCTGAGGCACAGTGGGGGACCTCACAGTATCAAGTACCTTCTTCTCAGTCTGCCTCCAAGTCTAAGTGGGCATTTCTATCACAATACTCATATGAAGCTGTTCAGACTGATACTTTCTGGATTGGTCTAGCCAACAGGGAAATCCAGCAAGTTTGATAGAGCTGGAGCAGGTCCAAAGAGACATGGCATAGCTTGCTAATTCAGACACTGCTCTATCCAGCTTACCCTTTTTCCTTAAGGATCAAGAACTGTAAAGCAGAAGTGATGTATTAGAAGTTCAGCAATCAAATGCCTACTATGTTTAAGGTACATGCAGTTTGTCATTTAAGCTGCTCAGTTTCATACACCTTATTTTTATCAAAAAGCTAAATATTTAGATGCAGGTAGAATCTCCCACTAACCATGTCACTGAAGAACAAGGCACCTGAAGGTCCCTCCATGGTATCCTGAATTAAATGCATAGTGCTTTGCCTATAGTTAAGAGGCTGCTTATGCATGCAGCTAGTTGCTGTATGGACTGATGCACTACATGCATTAAAGCCATTCTTTTAAATTGCAAGCAAAGAAAATTCAAGTTTTGTGCTATTTCTGCATTTAAACCAGTCAAGGAGATGGTTTCTTCATTGACTGCCACTTTGCTTATTAACATTTGAGCTAGTATGTGCTTATTTGGAGCTTTAAACTGCACAAGGGGAGAGTTTCTCATTACCACAAACAGCTTTTAATCTCTCCCAACAGGTATGTTGAGGCTTCAGAACACCAGGGGCTAGTGCCAAGACCAAGGAGTCTAAAGGGTCGATCACTCGGAGTCCACACAAAGACAGGCAGCAGCTACGCTTGTTTCCAACACCGAGCACTTCAGAACTATTAAGGAATTGAGTTGCATGGCAGCCTAAGGCTCTTTGTGTAGCAACAGAACTTCTACAGAGGCAACTACGAGCTTACAGTGTTGTGACAATTCCTTACCTCTTTCTGAAGGCCACACTACTAAAACTCTCAAACAGACTTGGTATTGATGTATCAAGACTAGCAAGTGACCAATACTCAGTTCTACTTTCCTACTATGGAAATAAATATACTAGTTCAGTTACTCTATTCCACCGCAACAACAAAAGACCGTCTTTCTAAAATGATTTGCTTTATAAGGTCGCATGTTAAATGATCACAAAGTTTCAAGGTCTGTATTAGAGTGAATCCAACACCGTGGGGAGCAACCTTGACTAACAGTAGCCATGAGCTCCACCTAAGTCACAAGACTGACAGAAAGGCACTCTCACAGAATTTGAGTGAAGGATTTCAATCAAGGCAACACTGAACTAAAAGTATAGTGAAAGGACTTGAACTTTGGGCATCCTTTTCCAGATGAAAAGGTTTTAAGACAGGGTGAAGCAGAATGTCTCATTTTCTAGTCTTGCCTGGCCTGTTGGTTAGTCAGTACTTTTCACATATTGAACATAAGACTCTCAGTTTACAAGAGCAATGAGCCAAGACAAACACAAGTGCGAGAGCACTACATTAGATTAACTTCACTCACCAGTTTACACTTTCATGGCAAGAAGTCTTTTCAAATTAAAGTTGATGAATTTCTGAATCAACATCAGTTCGAGCACAACTATCTTAAGTGCTCCAAGTTTGCAAGCAATAGAAGAACTTATTGCCAAAAAACCAGTTAACAGTGTCCCTAGCCAAACATGACACATTCTCGAAACTTACCTATTATATAGCCTGACCTGCTTCAGCCACCATAACACCTCCTAAGGAGAACTTTACAAAGGCAGATTGGGCATTTTAACTGCTTCGAAGAGCTTCAGCAGCAAACTCTCAGAAGAGCTGGCACAGCAGAGGATAGACAGAAACTTTGCAGCCAATTTTATTTTTACATTTTTTAAAAAAAAACAGCTTTACCTCATATTTAAGCACTGGACAATCCACAACCATCTTTGGACTGGAGAAGTTTGAAGGCAAACTTGCTTGACAGTTTAGTGTCATTTGCAGCAACCAGTTATCTCACAGCACATACCACCACTGTGCATCTTGGCGACTTTTTTAGAACTATACCTTGCCCTTAATGAGCCAAAAATGATGTTTGTTGTGCTTGTGATTAACTCCTACCACTCTCGTGCTTCCATTAGTTAGGTTTTGACTCTGCTAAGATCATTTCCTAACTTCCACTTAATGCAGAATACTAATGAAAAAACACTAGAAACAGTCCTGGCATGTGAGAAAGTCACTTATGGTTTTTAGCCAAGCAGTACAATCACTTGATATTAGCTTCCCTAAAGCACTATCTACTGCCCACAAAACATGAAGTTTTACTTCCCAGACAGGAACTCAATTGCAACCCAAGGAGTGTACAGATCTAGTCTAAATGAGCAATGTAACACTGTCTGAGGTGCAGTGAGACACCTGCAACCTACTGAAGGCTTTCAGAGTTTCCCATGACTTCACGTACCCCACGGATACATGCTTTGTACATGCAAAGCAGCCAAGACCAAAAATGTTCATTTTTCAGAGTACACAGGTAGTAATGGTGAGACTGTTCGCAGAGGTGATACCTTTGTAGGGTACCAATACCAGGGACAAAGTTTTCTGCATACCTGTACTTAATGCTAGAAACTTGTGATTGAAACCCAAATCAGAACCGTGGTTACAGGGCATGGAAGTTTCTACACTACTACTCTTGTATAAAAAAGTGAGGCTGGTAGGCTCCTGCCATGGCTGTTGAAGCATTCAGAGTAATGGTCAGATCTTTACCATCTGAAAAGAAGTCCTAGCTTTGCCTGCAAGCCATCCTTTGCTACCATCTGAAGTTGATCAGTGCTTAGTAAACTCCTGAATATTTCTGTGCTAAGCCTAGAGCAGCAAGTTGAGTTGCAATCTCACATGCATGCACAGCTAATAAAAATAATAAATAAAAAAGCAAGCAGCTCTGGGATGTTGCCTGCACTGAAGTGAGGTAGAAATGCAAAACCAAGGATGCAGCAGAAGCACTTACCCAATGTCATCCCGGTAGACTCGAGAGATTAAAACCTCTCCTTTGTGATTATAGATGAATAAGCCTCCGATCATGATGGAACTTCAGTCTTCCCTTTCCATGTTGCTTAAGACCTGAAGCAATAAAGTGCACATTAGGCTGCATGGCAATAAGCAGTACAGCAGACACAGATTTTGACATCCATTTGCTGTTAGTCAGCGTATAGATAGCTTTGTGCCACACACACAGCCCCAGGCAGAGAGAGAAGTTACTCCTTACAATACCTGTGAGACTTATCCTATGGAGTTAAAAGATTAGCTCCTCTTGCCAGAGCAGCATTCCAAAGATTTTGACTTTAGATTAACTCTTTTGGCAACTGCTCTATTACCACTAAACCAGATACAGCACTGGAGATTAGAAAAAAAAAAATCCACTCACACACTTTAGTTTGTTCAGAGGAACTCCAACCACCAAGAGAGTCAACTCCACCATCCTGCTACCCAGGCTAGCTATACCACAGCAGCCAAATTCCTTGACCTGCAGCTCTACAGGAGATCTCAACCCTATATCAGTAACCTTACATCTACATACTAGGCCCAGAGGTGTACTAGAGTTAAAACAATCACATCAAAAATTATTCACATTTTTGAGCTGAGGTAACAAAAACTCTCCATCACCTTGAAAACTATTGCAAATAACACTGCTAATATGTAAATTTAAATATGCAGAGTGTAAACATAGGTAGCCACAAACTGTGGTGGCCCAGCAGGGCAGCTAACTACTCAGGAGTTGCTTGGAAGTGCCTCATCCTTCCAGCCTGAATGGGGAGCACAGACATCTCTCCTTGCTTAGAAAAGACTATTAGAAACAGTGGTTTACTCTGGGAGGTAGATGGATTCTTATTGCTGCAGTTGGAGACTATACTGCTTGCTCTTCTGGGGTTTCATATGGAAATTGCTTTCCTAATGCAGAATACAGATGTACCATATGGTACCATAGGTACACAGATGTACCTACACCCTTCCAAATCCAAGGAGCCAGTACAGGAATCCTGGCAAGGATCTCAGTGAGCAGCTTCCCAAGCTTGCCTTTAGTACAAATTCAGCTCAAGAGGTTAGGTCCAGGTGAGTAAATACAGCTACCGTGCATCCAATAATACAGATCAAAGCAAGGCATTGAGTGTTATGCAATTTGTAGACAGGTCTGAAGCTTAAAATAAACACCAAGACAAATGAGGGCTTATTTCTTATTCCATTCATCAGCATGGATAAAACCGTAATGAAGCTCTAAGTAGTCAGGCCTCCCTCTTAAATGCAAGGAAGAGACAGGCTCAGCATTAGGAGCAAGCCATGATCAGAGAAGCTGGGGTCCCTCTAGTTACTCTGGTCTCTGGCATCTTGCCTGCTTTTTCAAAAAGGAATTCCATGCATCCATGTTTCGGTTTCTGTTGATATCTACCTGCAGCACTGAGCTATGGGTGTGAGCTCTGCATCACGGCTCAGATGGCAGTCTGGTCACAAGGTACCACTGCAAGGGAAGACCTCATCCCTGAGCCACTTAATTGGGGCTACCATCTCAGAAGTCACCCCCTGAAACTGCTAACCTTCTCTTTCTTTAGAGGAAGACTAAAGAGAGCTACAAAAGCGGCAGTGTCTTATGCCTCAGTAACACCTCTAATACAGCTCTTTCTCAGATGAGAAGGATTCCTGTAGTTATATGTCCTACTTTGCTTAGGTGCAAGCCACAGTATGTCCTCTAGCAGCTGCTTGGGGCTTAGCCCCCAAAACAGCACAAGTGCAATAGGACAAGTGCATGAAGATCATAGAGGTTCCTCAGCTTGACTGCACAGCAGCGATAACGAACCCACGCCACGCTGCTGTTAGGGTGGGCTGGCTACACCCCCTTTCCAGGGGGTGGGAAGGACAGCAGCTGCCTGGTGACAGGGGACTGATACGTGCTTGCGTTGGGACACAGCAACAACGAGGTTGAAGCGACCTAACCTCAGATCATCTCAAAGGTCAGAGGAAAAACACAAAACCAAAACACCAGCAACAAAACAAACAGAAGCAAAACATCTATCAGAGGATGAAAGGATTTCCACAGTAGCCGTCTGCACTATTAGCAGTAAAGTATCCTCAAAAGTTATGTTGCAGAAGCTTAAGCCTGCATTGAAGGAGGAGGCATTGCAGATCCAAGTTCTCTGCAAGACAAGATTCTCACAGGACAGCCATTACTTATTTCAGGTTAAAAAGAAAGAAAAAACACACACAAAAGCCTTTATACCAGGACCAACATTTGGTGGCTACACCTAAGGAGTCCTCAGAGTATCTTCAGCTACCAGATGGCTTCTTCTGCTTTCTGAAAGAAAAACCAAGTCCTTAAGTCAGAAACTCAGGAAAACTTATCTGTGTTTCTCACCGCTCCACAGTGAGCTTGCTGACTTACTCCCACACTGTAAAGTGTCAGCAGCCACTCGAGAATAATATGCTGCCTCTTGCCACCTGCTCAAAGTTGCATGGAACACTGTAGTCAACATTTTTAATGGCCTGAGGCTCCATCTATCACGGAAGAAGCTTTCAAACACGTTTGAAAACCATTTTCTGTAGCAGCAGAGCATAGTTCAATTCAGACTTCAACATGCTGGTGGTAATTCAGCTCCAACACCTCTGCCTCAGTACTGCGGAGCTCTCAAACCTCACCTAGAATTACTGCTTACATTCCCACTAAATGCAGTATGTAACTTCAGGCCATGAATATTACATGACACTCTCATGAAAAGTCTCTTGCACCCCCCTGCAGCAACCAAACCAATTAACCCAGAGCCAACACTGAGACACCCACATAATTACAGAACAAGGAAAGCCTTATGAAGCTTCACATTGCCTTACACAGGAGGAATGAGTCCACACAGCACAGAAGGCAACAAGGCCAACAGCCCCTCACCAGAGGACAAAAACCATCCAATTGGTCAGAACCAAAGACCTAAGAAAGTGAGAATATCACAGTCGCATGAATGAAACATACTTCCCTAACTGGGATGTGGGAGGCCAGAAATTGGCCTCCTGCAAAATTAGTATTTCTTCATTCCAGATAAGAGACAATGATATCTTTTCAGACAGCTACCATGTTGATTTCCACATTCAGATACAGACTATTGCTACTACAAGTAGAGTTCCTGCATCCTCTTTAAGACTTGTGTTCTATGGCATAAAGAATTTCCTGGAAGCTTATGTAACTAGTCAAGACTGGATCATTGAATCCCACAGCCCTTTCCAGAAGATTCCTAGAAAGCATATCCTACTATTAAAGGAAAAAAAAAAAAAAAAAAGAAAATCTCCAACACACAATCTCCCTCTTGGGTTTTAATGCCACTTAAGTTATTTATTCTATTTTTAGCATGAGGAAACACCTGTTTTGATGAGCACCAGGATCAGACACACAGCATACACAAGACATAGTACCTCGTTAGCAAGAGAAGGCAATTGCTTTCTGAAAAAAAGTAATACTAAAGAAACCCAATAATATATACCCACTACTACAAAATGGGTAGAGGATTGTGCAACAAAAATTTTGTTGCAACTTAGAAATCTCCTAAGAAGGTCTCAATACTTACACATTGACTAAGATAAGGCTAAACTTTCCTGGAAGTTAGAAAAAACTCATTAAGTTTTACTTAGTGCAGTTGTATCCAAAGAATTAGGAACATTCTGCCAGTTTGTTTCACAAGCCTAAGCATACCTGAAAGATACTGACTAGCACTATTTGACATATAATACAGCTTGTCTCCATTCCAGCTATGGTTTTCAAGTCCACCAAGCCTGACACTGTACAGCTCTGCAGATTACACCTTAAGTACAGCAGCTTTCCACCTCCCTACCCCAGGCAATTGGTCATGTGTTTCCCCAGCACTGCAGAAAGCTGCAGAGTCTAGGGTCAGTGAGCACAGAAAACAGTTCTAGATGATCGACCCAGCTGTATCCATCACACATCAACTCTCTTTGGCAGTTCAGAGACACACTATAAAGCTCTTGCTGCATTCCCATCCAAAGGCATCAGGAACGAGATCGAGAATAAAATCATAATCAGGCTTCTCTTTTTGCTTGACTTCTTCAAACATCTTGGAAAAGTCTAAATGATACAAGCATTAACATCAACAACTCAGCTTTACAGCAAACTGAGTCTGGGGCAGCAAAGCCATACTTACACCCAGCTCACTTTGGTTATGGTTAAGGGAGAAAATATTTTCCAAGCAGTAACAGCTAAACTTTTCCATCAAACAGGAACCAAGGGAACCTGCAGAGGAAAGTTTGGGGAAGACTTAAGACATTCCAGTCTTCTCATCAATCCCAGCATTACATCCCTCGCAGACATAAGGTTAGAGTGACCACCGTGCTCCCAGCCCCCATTAGAGTTACTCCCACCAGCTAATCAGAGCATGTTTACATAGATGGGAAACTCAAGAGCCGGAATTACCAGCCCAAGGATATATGAACAGATAATAAGAAAGCTACACAAAGGAAAGCATGCAAGAGAAAGTTGCTTAGAGCTTAGCAAAACAGAACGGCTCTCTAAAGAGACAATGGCTCTCCTTGAAGCAGAGGGAAGGAAAATAAGCCTGCTTTGTTTTGGCCATCTCCTCTGTTTCACACTTGCTTATTTCAACTATTTCAAGGTGACATTGCAACTAGAATGGGGTTTGAGTGGTGCAGTTCAGATTTGGTATGATCCTCCACATCTTCTGTGACAATGAATAGTTTTCTGCTCCTTTAAGATGGGCTTTGAAAAATGAAACACTCTGGTGCTTGCAGTGGTTAAGGAGCTGCAGAAACAGAGCTCAGATTAATTTGGAACCGACATTCCATGACTCACAGCTCTTGCAATCAGAAGGCCCAGAATAAGAAATCTACCGCAGGAGATGGGTTCATCTGCTGCCTGTACATTAGCAACATGACTCAAAGCTTCCCAGTAAGAGTATTGCTCAATCAGCCTTCAGTGACTCACTCTGCTCCTCTCCCCAGCGAGCCTTCTCTAGGGAGCTTGCCCTACACTGCTTTTGAGCTACCTCAGGCTAAGAGCTCACTGCAAGACAGTCTTAGAGAGGGGCCTGAAGCTGCTACCTTTGTTCATTATTA